GATATGTTCTTGGGCCGGGCCTGCCCCGAACATAGATAAGACTCGTACGCTACTGAGTTTAACTGGCCAGTTACCAATGGCGTGGACAGCCATACCTGTTCTGCGCTCTGTCCACGTCCTTGATATTTGGTGAGCAGCATGTGTGGATGTTGTTGGTGCGGCGTGTAGCTAAAGCAACAATCCTATCTGATAGAACAGAGGAGCTTCTGCTGTCTCCAGGTGTGTGAACCGCTTCTCACCGGCCATGTTGTCTTCAAGGACGGATGCTGTTCTCAGTAGGAAAATACCAAACAGAATCATAGGCTCAGTGTAAAATACAGATTCAGAATACATAACAGCTCGAAACATACTTAATTATAACAGGAACCAAACAACGAGGCCGAGGCCGGTCCACGTCACACTGCTCCAGGGTGTCCTGTGATCCACGAGGAGGGACAGCATCATAAACACATGCTGACTCCACACTCTGTTTCTAGAATCACAAACCTTTAAATTTAAATCGTTCTGCTTGGCTTTCATCAGTAATAACAACAGTGCACTCCCCACCTTCACTGTGCAGATCTGAGAAAGTACGAGGAGACGTGAGCGCTCAGATGATCGGACAGGTTCAGCTGAACTGCTGTGCAGGAAAAAGCAAAACTGGACTTAACAATGGTGACAGTCTACAGACCCTCCTGCTTCAGCTTTGTCCTCATTTACCTCACTGTTGTGTTTTAAATATTTCAGTTCAGTTATGTTTTTATTTCTGGTTCACTATTTTTTACATTTAGCCTCCAAATACGTGGTTACGATCGGTGGTTAGCACCGTGGCCTCACAGCTAGAAGGTCGCCGGTTGGCGTCCCGGTGAGGACACCCGGGATCTTCCTGCGTGGAGTCTCCATGTTCTCCCCGTGCAGCGTGGGTTCTCTCCGGGTTCTCCGGCTTCCTCCCACAGTCCAGAAACATGTTGAGGTTAATTGGTGATTGTAAATTGTCCGTAGGTGTGAATGTGAGTGTGCTTGGTTGTCTGTCTCTAAGTGTAGCCCTGTGATAGACTGGTTACCTGTCCAGGTGAACCTGCCTTCACCCTGAGTCAGTTGAGATAGACTCCATGTGACCCTAGTGAGGGTTAAGGTGTAGAGATGATGATGGATGCTGAGCAGAGTGGTACATATGTTCTGTTGTGACTGCTACCTCCAACATCTGGCTACAGGCATACAGGCCGCTGACGCTCGGGTCAGAAACAAATACTGAAATAAATACTTTGATTGCAGGTTTTATTTACACTGAACTGCACTCCTGAAGTCTGGAAAGACTGTTTTTATTAAATTTGTGGACAAGATAACTCCAATGTGTGCACAAGATTTAAATAACATTGATAATAGAATAGAATTATTTTATTGTCATTGCATATTATGAAATGAATTAATAACCCCGTCAGTGCATCACAGATTAATACAAGGTGCATACGGTGCTAGTAAAGGAGGTGCTCAGCTCCACAGAGTCAGTGTTTGACAGAGTCCAGTTCTCAGTACGGGACTCTGACGCATATTTTACGCATCTTGTATTTATTTATGATGCACCAAAGGATTGAGGGACTTTGTTGCACATTGCAATGGCAATAAAGAAATATTTTATTCTGTTCTATCTATAAAAGCCCCAGCCTTGGGACAGCTGCATGCCACAGTTTAGCCGTGGTCACAGCGCCACCTATCGGCAACAAGAAATCAACCTCATGTGACCAACACAATCTGATGTCCATAAAGTTTACATGTGGTCTACACATCAAATACAGCAGCATGCCATTTATTTAGCGGGTGTCAGCTGACCTCTAGGCCTGAAGACACCCAGAAGCCCACAACATAACCTGCCAGCTGCAGAAGGTGTGAGGATCCATCACTGCTGCTCGAAGCTTTAACTCAACTTCAACATTTGATGTAACGTTTAAATTTGTCATAGGAGGTGTGTGTAAGTGCATTAAATGGAGCGTACACAGAAGAAGGCTGTGCCACTGTGACATGAATGTAAATACTGCAAACTGCCTCATGCACGCTGCAGCAGAACCTTCAGCATTTTGTGTGGAACAGGAAGTGTGCATTTTCTTCCTCATCTTTTTCACTTGCATTGCGTGAGGAAGGGATCTTGTTGTGGCTGGTGTGAAGAGAGGAGACATTTGACACAGTAAACTCCTTTATCTCACATACCGGCTTAAATATTGTCATAAGAAATGATCCACCCTAAACCTTAATTATTGTAATCATTAAATGCAGACATGCCACAGCACATGATTCACTCATAAGTGATCCAAATTGTTCCTGAATAGCACCGTGGGTTCATCTGAACCAGACACCAGCCGTCTGGCTGATAGGACTTGTTCACCTTTTCACTGACATCAGCCACCTGTGTCTCTTCTGTTGGAGCTCAGGACATCCTAATCCTCCACAAACCCGGTAAATCCAGAGCAATCCCTGCCTGCGAGGTGAGGCGTACAATCTGTACACTCTGCTGGTTACTTAGAGGATTCTTAGTTTAAAACATTTAGATGGTTGGCTTTAAACTGACAACACACTGAGCACCAGTCTGGCCCACATTCTCCACCGAGATGCCGACAGAGTGGCGCAGACAGGACACCTGTCACCCACTGACTGGCAGAATTAGGCCACATGCAATGACCTCCTCCTTCTTTCACGATGATCTACCTTATTTATAGTCTGGCCCAAACATCAAAAACCACTCTGATATTTGCAGAGTTCCTCTACGTGCTTGTACAAAATCTCCTAGAACGTCGTAAGAAACCCCATTGCTTCACTAAAGGAAAAAAATCTGTGACATTTTTACTCTTATAGCTCTTCATCAGTGATGGGCTGCACTGAACAAACGTCATGCAGACACACAGAGGATGATCACAAAGAACTGTCCTTAAAAACAACAAGGAGTCCTGCAACAGGTGGCCACGCAGCGTGGCCTCACAGCTAGAAGGTCGCCGGTTGGCGTCCCGGTGAGGACACCCGGGATCTTCCTGCGTGGAGTCTCCATGTTCTCCCCGTGCAGCGTGGGTTCTCTCCGGGTTCTCCGGCTTCCTCCCACAGTCCAGAAACATGCTGAGGTTAATTGGTGATTGTAAATTGTCCGTAGGTGTGAATGTGAGTGTGCTTGGTTGTCTGTCTCTAAGTGTAGCCCTGTGATAGACTGGTTACCTGTCCAGGTGAACCTGCCTTCACCCTGAGTCAGCTGGGATAGGCTCCGCCCCCCATGACCCTGGTGAGGATGAAGGTGTAGAGATGATGGGTGGATGTAAACATTGCATACAGTCAGTATGTATGGTAAATAGTCTTAATGTTTTAACCAGTAGTTTGTATTTGTCCTGTTTTGTGTTCAGATGTGTCCGGTCGCTGTCAATGTGGCCGTTTTACTTCTTGTAAAGGTGATCAAACTATCTAGCTTGTAAAACAACACAAACTGTATTTTTCTCCCTTAAAACCATTTATTTACATGGTATTTGTTCTCCGGCTACAACAAAGTCACACCGATAAAAGCATTTGTCTCTGGTGGGATCTTTTTGTGTCTCCCATCAGTTTCTTGGGGACCATTTCTTTGTTCTCATATAGGTGAACTAACCCTTTGAGATTCTCTAAAATGACACAAATAAAATATGAAGACAGTTGACTTTCTAATGGCCCTCCACCTCTATTGCCATTGAAAAAGGGAAAACCATAAGGACAGACCACATACGCAGCATGCATAGACAAAACACACAGAACATGACTGAGCAGCAGAGCTGGCTCAGCTGAGGGTCACTACAGTGTGTCTGCAGGCTGAAGGTCGTCTCGTAGGAAGTCACATGCCGGGAAAGATGTCTGAAGATCCTCAGTCCTCCAGCTCATGGTTCTTCTCGTGGATTAATGGTAGCAGCTGAACCTGCTTGAGTTCCTTGAAGACGTTCCACCTTCATCCAAGAGGCTTCATCAGCTCTGACTGACTAGTTGGGAGTCCTTAAAGACATCAGTATGTGGAACTCCCAACCAGTCAGTCAGAGCTGATGAAGCCTCTTGGATGAAGGTGGAACGTCTTCAAGGAACTCAAGCATGTCCAGCTGCTACCATTGATCTACCAGAACATCCTGGGAAGATGTGACTTACATGCTACACGTTGAAAGCTGGTCATAAGTGAGACTGTGCTTCAGAGAAAGTCCTTGTCAGATCATCTGAAAAACCTTTTTTGATGGCACACTGTGGTGGAGGTGGATTCCTGGAGACAGTGTGGACATGTGACAATAGAAAACAAACAATCACACCTGCTATACAAACATCCATCATGGTACCTGATCGAGACACGGACTCCTGTTCACAGGTCATCTGATCAACACTACAGATATGTACACAAGAAACAGAGTTCATGAGATCAGAGAGGCGGTGGAACATGTGAGCTGCCAGTCAGACACGTGGCATCAAACAGGTCTTCTCAAGCCACCACACAGGACATGTGGAGCATCATGAAAACTCAGCTGAAGGTAACAAGTAACAAAACGCACTAAAATTTACATGTTAAACTACAAAATGGTAAATCTCTCAGAAAAAAAAGCAACAACAAAAACAGTCCTATTAAATCCTGGCCAGTGCCCAGAGAGGAGTCCTGACATCGCAGAGGACCAAGCTCGTCATATGTGTCTGAGCAGAACTAAACTACTGCACTCGGACTATGGTTGCTGTTCAGCTCAGTAAAAATGCTGTTGAGCCGCTTCGGGACGACAAACTCTCCTCTGAGCTCAGCGTCGGCATTCTGGCATTACCAGACACCACCGGGTGCCTTCACGTCCTCATATGTACGACCGTAACTGCAGCCATTTTAAACCTGATTCCAGTTTATTACAGCTCATTGTTCTGCTCTCCTAGATGCTGTAAACCACTACGTCTACGAGGGGAGCTGACAATCAAGTGTTGGCTTTGTTTCCAGCTGACAATCTGCCTGCTTGTGTTTCTTGACTTGCTTTTCAAAGTAGAATTAAAACCTAACACCTGAACACATTGTAGAGTGCTATCAAACTAAACCACTCCTTTATTTTTGTCTTGCTTGCAATTTTAGGTGGACGGCGGAACATTTCTGAAGTTACTGGAATTAAGTTCTCACAGGATGCTCTGATGCAGCTTTCACTTCTCTAAAAAACAAAAACCACACATCTGAAAGTCTGGATTGTGGTTTTGATGTAGGCAGAGTCTGCCATGTTCACATTTAAAACGCTGGTGGCGAGTCTCCACTTCCATGAACATAAAAAAATATAGATATAAAATCTGTACAATTTTCCACATCTTCACATGGATAAGCGCCACATTCTCACAGATCACTTGTCAGAACAGATACTTCCGACACGAGTCTGATCCACATCGACACTCCACTCGAATCCTCTTCTTCGGAGAGCTCGGGAGCCCCGCCAGACTGAAACTGGAGTCCATTTTGGTGCTTTCTGTGTCAACTGGATCAACTGGAAACAAGCAGAAGTCAGGCTGGTAAAGGTTCGGCTAAAAAGCAAACTCGTATCTAGAACTTGTTTCAGAGATTTTCTCTGAAAAAAAGCAAACAACAGAACCACCATCACCTGATGGCGCTGTGCCTCATTTACACACTAATCTAATTACTATTAGTTTACTCTATAAAGTCTGCTCAGAATTTCATAAACTACAATCCTCAGGCCATGGAGCTCTGACTGCTGCACGTGAACAGAAAAACATCTTTTTACTGTCACATGAAAAAGTACAAAATGAAACCATCAGTCAGTGTCACAGCGTAGTCGTCTTTAATCTGTGTCTGATTACCGAACCCTAACACTACATGGGGTCTTTTGGGTTTTTTAATCTATTTTTGGGGTTTTTTGTGCATTTATTTAGAGCAGTGGAGATGGACAGGAAAGGGTTGAGAAGAACGGGGAGAGACCTGCAGCAAAGGGTGGTGAGCCGGACTCGAACTCCCGACCGCTGTGTGGGGACTACATGTACACAGGACACCTGCTCAGCCAGGTGAGCTATAAGGGCGTCCCACGGTTCGGTCATTACATCAGATGAAGAGCAGCGGCGACAAGGTGACCGCTGGCTGACGTGTCTGTATTTGTTCGGTCTGCCAGCTGCACGGCGGCAAACAGGAAAGACCTCCAGAGGGTCACCAACTGGCTGAGAAGGTCACTGGGTGGCCTCTGCCCACACTGGAGGACCTTCATGGCTCTTTCTGCCTCAGGAGAGCCAACACCATCCTGAAGGACTCCTACCAGCCGGGCCACTTCCTGTTGGAGCTGCTGCCGTCGGGCAGACGTTACAGGGCCATCAGAACCAGGACTAACAGACTGAAACAGCGACTTTCCAGCTGCTGTCAGAACCTTACACGCCTCCCTGTCGCACTAAGTGTGATATACTGTAAATATACTCCTGCACTCGCTCTGTCCAGTATCCAGCGTGCTCATCATCTCATTTCATGTTTTTATATAGAGTTCTTTTCTTTGGTTGGTTTTGATGTAGACATTTCTTTCATGTTGTAAACAGCTGTTTATGAAGCTTTTCTATGTTTCTGCACTGACAGGCCTGCGCCTTACTTTTCATTGTACACATTGCAATGCCAACAAAACGAATCTGAATCTTGTTCTGTTCTGTGTCTGAAATCAAATACTGAGCTTTCACCCAAACAACGGCACCGACGCTGTCAGAGCTGCAAAAAAACAAAAAAAAGCTGGCCAGCGCAAATCAGAGAGCCGGCAGTGTGTTATTTTTGTTTGATCACATTGGCACCAATTTGACTCAACATCTGCTGGATCAATATCCTTACTTTGCATCTTGTAGTCAAAGGTGAGCTCCTCTCCTGCCCGGATAGCCCGTGTTGAGAATAAAGCGATTCTTGGAAGCCTCTCGTCAATGTTGTCGATGAAAACATTGAACACCTGGAGGTTGGGAGTGCACTGCAAAAAGGACAAAATGTGTATCAGGAGCTTTTGATCCACACTCGTAGCCGTCTTTTAAATACAAAACAACTCAAGAAAGCGCGTTTTTGAGTATATACACTGCAAGTAACGTGATGAACAAGTCACTTGGGGTTTATCCTGTTTGACGTGGTGCTGTGGATCCGGAGAGACATATGGATCCCGTGAAATAGTTTGAATACTTTCTCCAATTTGATTATTTCTCATATACAGTCGTGACTGGATGATCCATCGCTAAATGTAAAACCTTCTTCTGTGTCGGGTATCAAGGCTGTTGGATTGTCAAGACGGAGGTCCAGATACGAGGAGGGCTTGATGCTGGAAGGATCATTAGTTGTTCATTATTGTTCATAGTTGTTATAATAACTAGTAGGGCTGGTCCCAACTGGTCGGGGGACACTTCCACCCCGGGGCAGTGCTCTGACGGGGTGGAAGTGTCCAGAACACACAGGCAGTACTTGGCTGCTGATGCTAGTTTAGTTAGCGCTCACACTTCTGTTTCCTCCATCGGTGGCGGCGGGGGAGTGGCAGATAC